ACCCCTAACCCTAACCCTACCCCTACCCCTAACCCAACCCTAACCCTACCCCTGACCCTGACCCTGACCCTGACCCCTGACCCTAACCCAACCCTAAACCCTAAACCCTAAACCCTACCCCGACCCCCAACCCCTAACCCTAACCCAACCCTAACCCTACCCCTAACCCTAACCCCTAACCCTAACCCCTAACCCTAACCCAACCCCAACCCTAAACCCAACCCTAACCCTACCCCTACCCCTAACCCTACCCCTAACCCTACCCCTAACCCCTAACCCTAAACCCTGACCCTAACCTAACTAACCCTAACCCTAACCCCTAACCCTACCCTAACCCTACCCCTCCCCCAACCCTAACCCTAACCCCAACCTCTCTAACCCTAACCCAAACCCTAAACCCTAACCCCAACCCCTAACCCTATCCCCTTAACCCAAACCCTATCCCCTTAACCCAAACCCTAACCCCTCACCCTAAACCCTACCCTGACCCCTAACCCCTAACTCCCTAACCCTAACCCCCCATCCTCACCCTCACCCTACCCCCAACCCCAAAACCCTAACCCCTACCCTCACCCTCCCCATCCCCCTAACCCTTACCCCTAACTCTAACCCCTTAACCCTAGCCCCTACCCTCACCCTCACCCCTAAACCCTAACCCTACCCTAAACCCTACCCCTACCCCTTAACCCCGACCCTAACCCTTTACCCTAACCCCTACCCTCACCCCTAACCCTAACCCCTACCCTCACTCTAAACCCTATACCCTAACCCCTCACCCTAAACCCAACCCCAGCCCCCTAACACCTAGCCCACCCCCACCATTCCCTAACCCTCACACCTAACCCCTCACCCCACTCTGACCCTAACCCCAACCCTAAGCTTGTATTGCAGTTATCCAACTAGAAGCTGGTTTGTGCCTTCTGTTGCACATTAGAGCTAAATTATTAAATATGCTTCAGCCCTCACCTAGCTGCTAGCCAGGTTCTCAAACTGCCCGTACCCTCAATGTCTTCTTCCTTGTTACTTGGTCTTAAAGTGCTCCTCAGACGGCACTTCTACACTACAGGGGAAAGTCGATCTAAGTTACGCAATTTGAGTTATAGGAGTAGCATAATTTAAGTCAACATAGCTTAAATCTACTTACTGCGGGGTCCACACTACACTGTGTCGACAGGAGATGCTCTCCCATCCACTCCCCTTACTCTTCTCATTCCGGTGGAGTACCAGCATGCGATCTGCAATCGATTTATCAGGTCTTCACTAGACCCACTAAATCAACCCCCACTGGATCGATTGCCGCAGTGTGATCCACCAGTAAGTGGAGACAAGCCCTGAGCATAGAGAGTCCTTAGGCTAAACCACAGGTGCTCAAGTTAAGCCATCACCCTTATGAGCTGAACCATAAACCACTCCTTCAGTTGTACTTGACTTAAACTGTTCTCCACCCTCCATTCACCCAAAACAGCTTCCAGTTTCCCTAACCCATTCCTTCCATGGTGCTCATTTTGTAAACTATTCCTGTCCCCAAGTGCTCACTCTGGACTCTTATCCTCGATCCGCACACACTAAAAACCTCCTCTTCTGTCTCCATCCTAAACTTTTTCTCCTGATGTTCACTTAACCACTCCTCCCCAGACACTTACCTTGAAGCATGCCCCAAGAGAGTGACATAAACCACTCTTTACATTTTATTCCTCACTTATCTGCTCCTCCCAGCATGCTTACTTACAAAGTGGCAGCGTGGGCATCCATCTTAAACCACTCATCCCATATAGAAAAGACAAACTAGTCTTCCCTAGCTACTTGCATTAAGTGTCCTCTGGTTCCCAGTGCTCACAGCAAGTGGTCTCTCTCCCACCCCCCACATGCAAACCCTCAAACCCAACCCTAAGCAGCTCCTCCCTACATGCTCATCTTTAAATACTCCCTATGCTTTTGCTTTATAGTGGATTTTTTTAGCCTACTTAATACTTCAGGTATTAATCACTGGAAAATTTTATTAATTTAAAGAGTGTAACCAATCATAATAAATTTGTATAAGATACACAAATGTAATTTATTAAAATCAGAGCAAGATAAAGGTATTTCTTAGATAATACTCCATCCCTCTTCCCCAAGCAAAGAGAGAATAGTGGGAATTTTTCAGGAAGCAGATGGGGAGGAACAGGGACCCTCCAATGAAAAAGTCCAGTCACTAAAAATGTACATACAGGTATTCAAGCCTTCAGTCACAGCAGTACATGGGAGGCAGTCTCTCTGCTATCCAGGACTCAAGCACTGTAGAGCTGTATAAATCAGACACTTTGAATTGCATACAGATATCAGCAGTGCAGAAGTTGAATAAGTTTGTTTCTGGAACTAAACACCACTACTCTATGGGCCAACTATAATTTCAAATGGTCTTCAACTATAGTCTCCTATGAAGTTCAATCCAGTAATGCATTTTGAAAGTCAGTCTACAGGGCAACACAGAGACACACCACATCTTAACAAAACAATTTATTTTGACTGAGCAAAATGTACAAGGAGCTCAAATGACAGTGAATTTTCTTGACTACATGAATCTGCAGATCCATTGCATAGACAAGCAACCAATGGGAGCAGACTGCTTCTTCTACAGCATGTAACTACTTTTTGCCAGACTTCTTGATGCCACCACCAGCTGACAAAAGAAAGAAAACCACAATACAGACATCTGAAGCCTATACAGAGGTTTAGTCCCACATGCCAATTTCTTCAACAACTTCCTTTATTACCACGTCCACTCAATCCCCCATTTAAGAACCTTCACCTCAACCACATTGTTTGTATTACATTTCACCTGACTTTGAGTTAATGTTTTTTGTATAATTTATTACACTACTTCCTCATCAACACATGCTTTATTTTGCATTACAAGCTTTGCACTAAGACCCAATTCCTGTAACATTAGTTACGCACCTATTTTTGTCTGCAGGACTATGTATCCAGAGACCTTTTGCATCCACTCAAGAAAATCCTCTACTTTGTCCTCTTATTACAGAAGATGTTAGCACTGTTTTGTGTGATGTACAACACTGAAAATCTGTTCATTCACCTCTCTGGCCCTGGTAACCACTGTGGGGTTACGTGGGTGTAACAGCAAAATTTGGCTCACTAAGTCAGAAAATATACTTGAAAGGCTTTGCCAACAGCTTTTTCAATAACAGATTTTTCTCCTCTCCCCCTCCCACACCATGTCCGGGGAGAAAAACCATACAGATTAACAAAAGTTCAGAAAGTTTGCTGAACAAGTGATTCCCCATTAATGGCTCCACTCCCTTGTCAAGGACCCTAATTAGTCTTGAGAAACCTTTTGGCAGAAGAGCAAATGCTATGTGGGTACAGCATGAGTGTCTCCTCATCCCACATAATCAAGGTGTATTTAAGGCTGTAAGAATACAGACAACAGCAACCTTCCAATAGCAACTAGAGGCCCCAGTCAGAATCAAGGCCTTGCTGTACTAAGAACTGGAGGGGGGGGGGGGGCGGTGGCACATGGATCAGCATTCATGTCGCACTTCCTATCAGTACCTGGCTGGGACCAAGGAAGCTAACGATCCAACCAGCAGACCAAATTCGGTGATGCATCCTGGTCATGTGCCACCTGAGGCATGTTGCGCATGCGCTAAGACTAAGTAATGTAGAAACATGAGAGATTGTAAAATCTTCAGGACAGGGACTATGTAGGGCAGACAGACAATAGAAGGTAGGGAGAAGAGACTGTGAATTTAAAAAAAAAATGATTTTTTTAAAAAAGGTCAACAAAATCATTTTTTGTATTTAATTTAAATACCATTTTTAAAAATAAACATTTAAAATTAAATTTGCAATTATGATAGATTACAGTATGTTTATGCCTAAACATAGGCTATTAGAATCATGTTCATTACATTAAAAAAAAAGCAGGACATGTTTGCTATCCAAGTATTAAAAAAAGTCAAACCAATGAATTACTGGAAGTCAATGGTTAAGTACACAGAACCAGAGTTGGCTGAAGTGCTAAATTAGCTTTTCACAGCAGTAGCCACTTTCTGCAGATACAAGGAGAATAATTTTATCTCAATTTATTCATTCAGTTTAGTTCAACAACTAGTTAATTCAAAGTTAAGAAACTGATTGGGAGTTGAAAAAACTGGAAAGCTTGTTTCACTCTTCCAATCTGGGAGTAATAACATGGTGTGAGAGGATGAGACCTGGTAGTTCCAAAATCTTGAAGAACATGGTGACCAGAAACAACCAGTTCAATTCACTAACTATAGCGAAACTATTATATTAAAAAACAGTTTTAAATTCAAAACATGTTTGATGAACTTTTTCTTATGGATCCTGCACATTTAAGATAGAATTTTATTTTTATAATAAAACGGTGTTGGCGAGATGAAGAAGTAATGGGATTGTCAGCGGGCACAGTTATTAGAATGGACTAGTTTGTGTCTGTCCAGGCAGACCAATGAATCTATTGAGCTAATTGATTGTAATAAGTTTAGTTATACTGAATATTGTAAATCACTCAGGACTGGTGCTCAAACAACTAAAACAGATGAAGTAAGAAATCTTAATTGAATCATTCTGGTTTCCATTTGTTGCTCATATATTCTTGTGTGTGTTTAATAACTTGAGTAATTTGCAATTAAAACCAGCTCACTTTGGAATGTAAAATAACTAAGGCTGTCAAGTGCAGGCATTAACTGCAATTAATTAACTGAAAGCAAAATTAATGCATTAACTTTCTTAACACGTTAATTGCATACCTGGGGCAGGGTGGGAGACATTGGCGGCAGGGGGGCTGAAGCAGCCCCAACCCACAGCTTCCTGGGTGATGGGGGGACTGGAGCCCTGTGCCACAAACCCTATGGGTGGGAGAGGGGGGCTGGAGCCCCCAGTCCCCAGCCCTGACCCTATATTTGAAAATATAGAAACCTCCCCAAAATATTTAAATAAATGGTATTCTTATATTGTTTAACAGTGCGATTAAAACGGCAATTAATCGCTTGACAGCCCTGAAAATAACCTAAAGCATAGTCCTTGTTATGTCAGTGTAGCAAAAAACATTAAAGATAATTCCTTAATAACTGGCTTGCCTTAAGGATAGGAAAAGTTGAGTGGGCCACTTACTAAGGGGGCCTTTCCCAGAAGCTTTTGTCTTCATCTCCTCAAGTTTCTTCTGCTCTTCCTTCTGTTTTTGCTTGAAGGCCAAATCTTCCTGAAGAAAAGTCAACATTTGTTAGCATCTTCCCTCCGACCACTGAAGTGAACTGACAAGGGTTTTGTGAAAAACAGTAAACTGGAGGTAAGCAACTGGAAATTGGAAAATTCCAGAAAACAAAGACTCCCAAAATTATAAATCTCTTCTAAAGAAAGATAGCCATAGAATCATAGAAATGTAAGACTGGAAGGGACCTCAATAGGTCATCTAGTCCAGTGGTTCTCAAACTAGGGCCACCGCTTGTTCAGGGAAAGCCCCTGACAGGTCGGGCCTGTTTGTTTACCTGCCGCGTCCACAGGTTCGGCCGATCGCGGCTTCCACTGGCTGCAGTTTGCCGCTCCAGGCCAATGGGGGCTGCAGGAAGCGGCACAGGCTAAGGGACGTGCTGCCCGCCCTTCCTGCAGCCCCCATTGGCCTGGAGCAGCAAACCACAGCCAGTGGAAGCCGCGATCGGCTGAACCTGCAGACGCGGCAGGTAAACAAACCGGCCCGGCCTGCCAGGGGCTTTCCCTGAACAAGCGGCGGCCCTAGTTTGAGAACCACTAATTTAGTCCATTCCCGTCACTCAAAGCAGGACTAAGTAGTAACTAGACCATTCTTGACAGGTGTTTGTCTCACCTGTTCTTAGAAACCTCCAATGACGGAGGATTCCACAAACTCCCTAGGCCAGCGGTTCTCAAACTGTGGGTCAGGACCCCAAAGTGGTCACCACCACATTTTAATGGGGTCACCAGGGCTGTTAAACTTGCTGGGGCCCGGGGCTGAAGCCAAAATCCAAGCCCCATGAAGTCCTCAAGCTTCGGCACCCCCCACGGTGGGGGGCTCAGGCTCCAGTCCCTCTCCCTGGGGTCTTGTAGTAATTTTTGTTGTCAGAAGGGGGTCGCGGTACAATGAAGTTTGAGAAACCCTGCCCTAGGCAATTTGTTCCAGTGGTTAACCACCCAGACAGGAGGTTTTTCCTAATGTCCAGCCTAAACCTCCTTTGCTGCAATTTAAGCCCATTGCTTCTTGTCCTATCCTCAGAGGTTAAGAACACTTCTTCTCCCTCCTCCTTGTAACACCCTTTTATATATTTGAAAATTGTTATCATGTGTGTGTCCCCCACCCCGCCAGTCTCTTCTCCATACTGAACAACCCCAATTCCCCCCTCCCCCAATTTTCCTTCATGTCATGTTTTCTAGACCTTTAATCATTTTTGTTGCTCTCCTCTGGGCTTTTATTGGACACAGTACACCAGTTGAGGTCGAATCAGTGCAGAGTCCAGCAGAATTACTTATTGTGTCTTGCTTACAACACTCCTGCTAATACATCCCAGAATTATGTTCCCTTCTTTGCAACAGCATTATGCTGATGATTCATATTTAGCTTGGGATCCATTATGACCTCTAGATCCCTTTCCGTATTATTCCTTCCTATGCAGTCATTTCTCATTTTGTATGTGTGCAATTGATTATTCCTCCCTAAATGGAGTACTTTGCATTCGTCCTTATTGAATTTCATCCTATTAACTTCAGACCATTTCTCCAGTTTGTCCAGATCATTTTGAATTTTAATCCTATCCTCCAAAGCGCTTGCAACCCCTCCCAGCTTGGTATCATCCACAAACTTCAGAAGTGTACTCTCTATGCCATTATCTAAATCATTGATGAAGATATTGAACAGAACTGGATCAGGACTGATCCCTGAGGGACCCTTGATATGCCCTTTCATATAATATTAAATACCCAAAAAGTAACAAAATTAAGGTTGCCCAGTGCTGCCATGAGCCCTACCAGAATATGGAGAGTGGCTAAACTAACCTCTGGAAACCAGGAAATAAGAAGTTAAATACATACCAGACTCTCAATATAACCTTAACCCTGCCCTTTTTGAGCAATACCCAACATGCCAACACCACACATAGCTCCTGTAAGGATGGAGTGCTGCTAAGGAACACTGTTACAGGTTGGCTAAAAAACAAACAAACAATCAATTTAACTTAAAAAAAACCCCAAAGTGTTATTTTTAATTTAAATTAAATTACTTGTCCTTTTTAAAATAAAATCATTTTAAAATTAAATCTGAAGATATGATGACATATCTTAAGGGCTAAATATACTACAATCTATTAGAATCTTTTATATTAAATAGAAAGTATTGAACAGTATATGTCTGCTGCTTAAATGTTGAAGAACATCAGACTACTGAACTGGTAGAAGTCACTGATTAAGCACCTGGAATCAGAGTCTTTTGATGTGCTAAACAAAACTGACAGCACTAGCCTCTTCTGCGGGAGTAAAGAGAATATTTTCTTCTTTTCAGTTTATTCAACTAGTTCAGTTCAACAATTAGTTAATTGAAAGTTAAGAAACCGATTGGGAGCTGAAAGAGCTGGAAAGCTTGTTTTTCTCTTGCAGTCTATGAATGGAAAAAAAAAAAATAGGTGTGAAAGGATGGGATCTACTAATTCTAAAATCTTGAAGGACATGAAGGCCAGAAACAGTCAGTTCAATTAACTAACTACAGTTACTACTTCTTTTGTTTAAAAAATCAGTTTGTTTAAAATGCAAATGCATGTTGTGTTAAACCTAAGAAAAAAAGTATGTAGCCAGCACATTTAAGGTTGTTTGATTTAATATAAATGAATTTTAAAATGCAGTTTTTATGCATTTTAAAATAATTCTAATTTCCATCCAAATGCAGCTGGACACAACTCATGAGCACAAAATTAATAATCAAGTAAATGAGAAATGCATCATTTATGATTTCCTAGCATAATAAAAATGTAAAACTTAATATGCATTTATTCAGATTCTTAAGTTATGTAATTGCTTAAATAAGTCTGCATCAATAGTGTATCCTCCTTGTTAGCAAGAAGTACCAAGTTTAGCATAAAGGCAATACTCATTTACAAATTAAAATCTTGTAATGGTTACCAACCAATGAGAATCAACTTTTTCTTTAGGAAAATAACCAAAACAACAAATGCAAAACAAAATTAAAATAAATTATTTAAATCAAGAATTCCTGCTTGCTGATTTAAACTACGATTAAAATCAGTGACTTGTACTGGTTTGATTTAAAACAATCCAACCGGAGAAGGGATGCAATATATTAGTAGAATGGTGGGTGACAAACATGTTAGTGATGCATTTTGTATTTTAAAATGATTATGCTCTTTAAAACAATCTCCATGACAGGACGACTCCTGGGCACCTCTATTGATGCAATCTATACAACTCAGCACTGAGAGGAGACATACCTGATCCCGCAAGACGCACATGCACTTCTCTTCACATCATAGCAACAACTCTGCCAAGATGCTCCAACTAATCACTCCACCATTTAATAGAGCTACACCTAACAGTAAATGCATGTGGAGTGAATGCAGATAAATGCTGGAATTCAAATTTTTGGAATACCACCAACCCAGTGGCACCGGCCATGTCTATACATACAGCTGCACCACTGCAGCGCATCTGGTGAAGAAGCTCTATGACAGTGGCTCTCAAACTTTTTTTACTGGTGAGCCCTTTCACACAGCAAGCCTCTGAGTGTGACCCTCCCTTATAAATTAAAAACACTTTAAAATATATTTAACACTATTATAAATGCTGGAGGCAAAGTGGGGTTTGAGGTGGAGGTTGACAGCTTGCAACCCCCCCAATGTAATAACCTCGCAACCCCAAGGGGTTCCGACCCCCAGTTTGAGAACCCCTGCTCTATGACAATGGAAGAGCTCTCCTGTCGGCATAGTAAAATCACCTCCACAAATGGCAAAAGCTATGTCAGCAGGAGAAGCTCTCATTCCACATATCTACCTATAGATTAACAGATTTTAAGCCCAGAAGCGAACCATTAAGTAGCCATAAAATGCTATTCACGTCAGTGAAAGTTCTGCTGCAAATCTGGATTAGAGTAGGGAGAGACCACTATCCACAACTAAGGCTTGGTCTACACTACAAACTTATGTCAGTAAAACTACGTTGCTCAGGGTTGTGGATTTTCTACACCCTGAAACAACATAGTTATATCAACCTAACCACTAGTGTAGACAGTACTACCACCTCTTGGAAAGGTGGAGTACCTATGCCAACGGGAAAGCTTCTTCACTCGCTGTAGCATCTTCACTAAGCGCTACAGCAGCGCTCTAAACGTAGGCAAGCCCTGCTACAAGCTTGTCTACAAGAAGGTGACGTTGCAGACCAAAAAGTTAGTGAGTCTGGGATTTACAACAGCGGCAGCTACTTAATGGCTCTATGCAGAGTCTCAGCACATTCCATTAGCCAGCGTTTCTCAAATGCAGCCACAACAGCCTCCTGGGCAGAGATGGGGGAGGGGGCAAAGTAGTGGTCACTCCCTACAGTACTGAGGGGCTCCGGGGCAAGCTTAACCCCCCTCTTCTCCCATCAGCCTTGGGGCTCTGGTGGCTGGCTCCGAGCTTCAGGCCCCACTCTCCCAGCTTCAGGGCTCTGGGCTTCACCCACCCCTGCTCCAGCCATAGGGCTCCAGCTCTGGGCTTCAGCCCAGGGTAGCAGGGTTTCAGCAGTGCCGGCCTTACCTGGTGCTGTGGTCAAGAGGCAAGCAGGGGGCTGAGAGGCCATGGAAGGGAGCTTGGGGTGATTAAGCATGATTGAAATACAGATACGTAGTCACTCTGGGTGACACCCACAGCTAGCCTTTCTGGTACAAAAATGAAGAAACCAGATGGTTTTGCTGATGGACCATCAGCAAAGCCAATGAATCCTGGTAGAACTTAACCTTCCTGTGAAAGTTTTGGCCAGCCTGGAAGCAATGGCTGCTATAACACTGCAAGAGCATGTGACCAGACCACATGTCTCTGGATTCCATCTTGGGATGTCAGTATTTTTTCCACAAACCAGTCTGGGAATCAAGTTTTGAAACAAAGGGTTCCTGCCATATGCTAATGCTATATAAGGTAGGGACTGACATCATCTGTTGTTCTTCACTCCCCACATAAGACCCCTGGAAATACCTGAGGAACAAAGACTGAACTG